GTTATGTGTAAAGAATTTAGTTATGATGATGTTGTCTGTACATAAGTGTTAATGATGTTGATTTAAGATTTATATAAAAACACAATTCGAGGTATGCAGTCAACTGGCTGTGATCAGGTTATGTATCACAGTGTCACAATCAGTTGGACCAAGGGATCTATAAACAGTTACATGAAGTCTCACCACAGTATGTCACTCATAGTCGTATTAATCAGAAGCTGCAGCGCCAGGCAAATTTTAAGTCAGTAACATGCTTTGTTTTCCGCAATCTGGCCACAGTTCTCTACCTGGAGCCAAAATCTGAAATCAAACTGATCAGACATGATTATGTTTGTAGCATAATGTGTTAGACAATTACAATAGGTGTTATTATTGACTGTACGTACAGAAAAATGGCATCAATCAGCCTATAGTATATATTAACTCTCCTCTATAATTTTTCTTGCAGAATGCACGCAACTTTCAAGATTTCGACTGCCAGGTGAGTGTTGCTCTCTGTTTCTACTCAAAGCACTGTTGAGATGCTGTGTGTCAGTGGAAGGGGGTTGGGGCATTGGGACAGTCTCACACACCTACTGCTAAGCCAATTTGTTTGCTTTCCCTACATCTGAATGTTGTTCCTCACAGGCAACATCTGATTTTTCACACAATGTTCTGATTAAATGTAGGATTTATTTTGTGGATTAAATCAATGAGGGTCATTCACTGCACTGGGTATTAACGTTTCACAGGGATAGCATTTAAAAGCTTTTGCCGTACACCGTTTTTGCCCAGCTTGTTCTCCACATTTGTCCTTTGCACCTGTGTGTCTGTGGACAAAGGTCACTCGAAAAGGATCTGTTCAAAATTCAAACTTTAGTGGTATGTCTGTGGACTGTGGATCATTTGTACTGATATAAATACAACCACATTGGTTGCTTTATTGTCGTGGTTAGAGCAGGGTTTGGGATTCACCCTTTTAAGATTTAGAGGCTAGCATTATGTTTGCTTGTTGTAATGCTCTCACCCAAATCTGAAAATCAGGAAACTGTTAATAATATCATGTGAGGATTGGCATCCTGGTGGCATACCATATTTAACCACAAATACTCATTGTGAACGATGCAAGTCAGACCGGGAGTGTCATGTTTTGTACTAAGGTGTACATCTCATGTTACAAAATAAGGACAACGACTATTAGTGGTATGTAGGGATGGTTCTTTCATCTTTGTATGATGGATATAGGTGATATTTATTAGATCTATATTATAGAGTGTACTCTCTTAGTAAATGTCAGGAACAGGTGCAGGGATTTATTTTAATAGCTTTCTCAGCTAGTGTCTTCCGCAGTAAGAGTTTGTGTGATTGTTCCTGTGTTGCAGAAACTGTGTTTGCCTGAAAGCATTTCAACCATAGTCAGGTCTTTTTATGTGATAATGTAAGGATAATTATCATTAAAGAAAAAATGGGTATCGTCCTTGAGCAGGCAGTGTTCCAGATCCCTTTCTTTGATGGTTTATTTGCATGGGGAATGGGATTGCTGGTCCTCCGCCTCTGTGCTATGTAATTAGCTTTTTCTTGCAAGGAAGCTCTCGCATGAGGAGTGACCTCCCACAGGCAAGCACTCTGCTGTGTTTCACGAGCATCATGGCTGTAACGGGTTAAACCTTTCATCCCTCTCTCACTTTCCGCAGTCACGGCTGCTTCCAGCATCCCACCAGAGCTAAATATAGCTGCTGCAGGCAGAGGGAGGAGAGAAAAGCATGTTAGCTGGAGCAGGCATGCTACATGCTCCCCAGTATCCATTCCTGTCGACATTTTCACTAATACATTAACATCCATAAAAAACTGCACTCACGCATATGTTCAGTGTGATTTCTGTCCACTCATCCTCTTGTGACTCAGTCCAGGTCCTGCAGTTGTACGTTGAAGAAGGAATTATACCAGGATTTGTCTCAGCGGTATTGGGGCAGACTTAAATGTATTTGACCTTATTTCCTTGGCAGCCATTTTGACCTCACACAGTCACATTCAGGAGCCTCAATTAATTATTAAGATAAGTCCTTATCTAGTGATTATTTGAATGCTATTTGAAAGTTGTCCATATATATATATATATATATATATATATATATATATATATATATATATATATATTTCACATCACAGCACAAAAACCACAGGTGTAAATGATAAGAGTAATGGCTGAATTCCATTTAGCAGCTTCAGTTTCAGGGTCCTGATATTGTGTCTTTTCTAATTCTTCTGAGTGGGAGAGAATATATGAAATGTTAGATATTTATTGCTATTTTAGTCAAGCATTTTTGTGTGCTCGTGTAGGACAAGACTCAAGTTGGTTTGAGATGGACTATAAGCTCACATGGGATATAAAAATGTACCACTGTCATGCAGTTCAGTGAAGAAAGCACCAACCGAGTCCACATACAGTACAAGGCATTAACAGCAGACTTTCCATGAATACAGTCCATGTGGGGGGAGGGGTCCTCACCACTGCACCATGACTCTGAGCAGCTGATGTGACATTCCAGCAGCTGGAAGACAAATCCAGCTGCTCTCCTCTTGACTTTTCTGCTACTCAAGCTCCTACCACAGGCGGTACACAGGTACTGCAACAGTCATGTCAAAAGCCTGTGCACCTGCATGAGGAGGGCGACGTCAGTGGCGGTGGTGAAGTGGGGTCAGAGAGGAGATCCAAATGGGTGTGGCGCTGCAGTCTTGTGTCACTTGCGATGTCCTGCTCACGCCACTGAGAAGCAACGAGGGGAGGAAGGTGTGAGTCAGCCTCCTCCACCCATGGGACACTGCTGTATTCTAAAGTGCATACTAAAGAACACTAAGTTACTTCATGTCCGTGGAAACTGCTAAATGAATGACTGTACACTTTAAAAATAGATCATCTTAGGGTTGATGGTGTTTGCTATGGAGAGCCAACATGAGATAGATGTCCATGGAACCTGAATGCATGCAATGTTTTCTCAAAATGTTTTGTGAGCTTATATTTACCATTATTAGATTAACATTTTTGACAGTTGTTTCCACATTGTCATCATCAGTTATTAGGTTTCACATTTCATAGTTATGTCCAGTCTTAATAAACTTTTATGTCTTGACCTTGGCTTGTACCTGTGCAACACAAAGACTAAAGAAGCTGTCTCCTTTGTTTTTCAGACAAATGGCTGCCAAGTCGTCTTTGGCTTTTTAAATCGTCACTGTCTCATTAAGAGCAGCAGAGGGCGCCATAAGCCTGTTCATTGTGTGGCTGAAGGACTATGTTTAGTGTAACTCATTTTTAGTCTGCTGGGCTTTTTCTTTTTGTAGATTGTTGTTGCCGAATGTCCTAAAGTAAGGTTTAAGCATCAAAGAAACCTAATGTATTGTACAGATGTTGCTCAGTGACCACCCTAGAAGAGGACAAAATGGACCATGCCATGTGGAGTGTCATGTTGTGTGGTGTTGGACAGTTGAATACAAAATGTTTTCCCGAAGTTGTGCATTTTTAATATGTTTGGAATGTGGAAATTAAACCTTAGATTCTGGCATAAAGCTCTACATTGAACTGAGTCATGCAGACCATCACATCACATCACTGTGTGCCTGAATGACTGCTCAGACTGCTGAGTCCTGCTGAGACACTCAATGACTCAGTGTATGACACAAAGAGGCACCTTATCTGTCAAGGAAAAGGTACATGTGTGCTCAGTCACACACATCATCTCCATGAGCTGATGTGCTCAATCGCATGTACAACAAAATCTGGCATCAAAGATTGAACCTCACAGTGTACATACAATTAGTCACATCCTCACCTCAATCTGGCTTGAATGACTGGAGATGGAACACGATTTACACAACCCTTACACTGCGGAAAAAATCTTGAATGGAAATTAAATGTCAGAGGTGCATTGTATGGATCCTATTTTTACTATTACTTTGTCTATTGACTATTATTTGTCAAGCCTGTATATCAAGTGTTTATTTGTGGAAATGCACATGCACTACATGCGTGTTGATGGCACCCTCTGTGGGTTAGGACAGGCAACATTTAGAGGAGAAACAGCAGTTTCCAACCAAACATGCTGCTACACTGACTAACCAATGTCTTTGTAATCCCACCCACCCTGTGCTGTTTGCGCAGGTGCCATTGGCTGCACAGAGCAGCCTGTCTCAAACACAGGCGCGACACCCTGCATTGCTTGCAGTTGTGCAGATGGCAGAGGAGAGTAGAAAAGGAGAGATCAATAAACTATGTGGATCAAATATCTCAGAGGCAGGGTTAGGGGAAATAGATCCTCTCATGTAGGGTTGTGAATATTGAATAAAAATAGTAGCTCATTGTGAGTTTATTTTCTGGTAAGCCTGGAACATAACGAGGGTCATCTTTTGAATGTCAGTACTAAAATGAATATTGGAGCTTTGCCAGAAGATTTTACATGATAAACTAGTGTTGCAGTATGAGCCAAATTTTGCAGCAACGCTGTTGTTGGTGTTTATCCGACGGCTGCATTTTACGCTAGTCCTGCTGAGTGACACTCTTGCAATTGGAAGTCATTAACAAGATCTGATTATGGATATTCACGTTTAGACATTCCTTATTTGGATGCTGAGGTCATTCACACTCTTCTCATTCATCAAGGTGAAGCTAAAGTGAATCTGGAGACAGTTGTTGGTAAATCTCTGTGATGAGCAGCCATTTTGCTGATGCAGAACACAGCCCAGGGTGAGCTGTCAAAGTCAGCCTCCTTCTCTCCTCGCTCTTCACTTTCTCAGTATCACAGTGTGACGTCAGCAGCCTGCTCATTTTCCAGGACTGCCTCTGCATCCTTTGTACCCCATCACCCTTCTTCCACACACACGTCCCTCTCTCTCCCTCCCACTCTCCCCCTCCTTGTCTCTCCTCCAAGCCCCACCCTCTCCCTCTACCCACCTGACCCTCTGCAGTCCAATTAGATGCACCGGTGGCTGGATGTATGGACGCACTGTGACTACCAAGCACAAACTGCAGTCTCACTCTCCTCCCCCTCTGTCTCTTTTCCTGCTCTCTTTCCCACCTCTTGTTTCTGTCTCTCTCTTGTTCTCTCTGCATCTTATCCACCCCCCCTCTTCTGCTTTCATTCAGATTATTTACCCATCTCCTCCTCACTCCCTCTGCTGTGTCTTTCTCCTCCCTCTCTTCCTTGCCGCTACCACTCTAGCCGCCTCAGCCTACATCCCTCCCTTCCTACCAACACTCCCTCCCTCCTCCTCCTCCTCCTCCTTCCTTTTGGAGATCTTCAAAGCTGACCAGCACACACTCGCACATAGCATAACACGCTCCTCTCCTGCGTGGGAAAAACATGTCAGCTATTCTGGACCTGGACCAGATTGCATGCTCTGGGAATGGAGTGGTGAGTGACAAATGCGTCTTGCCTGCCTTGACACACCTGGCTGGGTCCTTGCAGCAGGGGCTTCTGGTTCAGATTAGGGGGGGACGCTGCTGTGCGGTCTCCCCAAAGACAGGGTGACAGCAGCTGGCAGAAGGGAAAAACTGGTGGGGGTCTTTCCTGGCTCGCTTGTCACCACCTTCAGCAGACGGCTGAGACTTTGGGCTTTTTCTCTCTGGGCAGCTGCTAGTGTTTGGTGAACATTTGTTGTGTGTGTGTGTATGTGTGTGCGTGTGTGTGCATGTGTGTGCATGCATACAGGTCATGTGTGCAGTCTGCACAACCTAACTGTGCTTTTTTTATGTGATGATATGAAAGATGCATGTGTTTAATACTCAAGGGTCTCTGAATCTGCAAATGCCACAACCAGAGGGTGTGTACGTGCCTGTTAGTAAGTGGGTGACCATCAGTAGGGTGGTTAGTGTTTTTGTGTTTCAGGGTGCATGTTTCTGTACATCTGAAATGTGCACTTTTGTGTTTATCCATAACGGTAGTCGGCACGGATGTGTTTTGCTGAGTGAATGGTAAACAGCTATGGATGGTGCATAGTGCCAGAATTGTGTTGCTTATTCTCTTATCACTAAAAACAGGCAGGGAGGTCACTCACCCCCACACACTGTAGCAGCAACACACCAAAATCACTGTAGCGGCTCCTTCCCTCCCCTGCAGAGACCTTGAGTTTGTAGTTTCAACCCACTGCTTCGATGACACACACACACTTTATGTGTGCTGCAGGTGGGGAGGGCTGTGTTTGTGTCAAAGTAGAGCAGGGTGGTATGCACCTGGGATGATCTCCACTGGAGCGCATACATATGAGACATGGATGTGTGCATGCATATGTGCTTGTATGTACACTAAAGTCATTTGCAGGCTGCTGGCTGCGCTTGATGTTTCTGCCCTATAATGCTGCTCTTAGAGGTGATTGATGCCATTCCTGGCAGGGCGGGGTAGGCAGGGAGGAGGGGGGAGGAGGGATTGATAAGAGAGGGATTGCAGGAAGAGGAACAGCATGACATACTGCTCTGCTTTTTTCACCTCACCCCACCTCCCTCACCCTCCTTCGGTCTGGGACCAAAACCCAGAGTGCTTCTCGTTTGCCCCTGGTAACCTCCTGAAGCCCCTCTTCTCAAAGCACTAGCCCCTACTCAGTATTCCTGTCTCACCTACAGCCTCCCCAAATATCCACAGACACTTTTTGTCCAACTACTAGCCGCCATGACTGTATTGAAGAGGAAAAAGGGTTGCTGCCATTGCGGTGCTCTCCATCTTTTTCCCCTCTAGCTGTCCAGCCTAGCAGCCCCACCCCATGTCTGATTCCTTGAGACGCTGCTGTGTGTACATATATACCCATACTTGTTTCTGTGAAAGGAAATGATGAGCTCTAAGATCAATACAGCTTATAAACCATGCCAAGAGCTAAATGGATAGATAAAAGGTCCTCTCCTTCACTCTCTTTTCATAGCCCTTTTCTCCATGATCCACCCTTGTTTGTGCCAGGACATGGCTGGAAAGGAATGATACATTTAAGCACTGCGCCCCTTCTGTTTGAAGGCACACCCTTCTGTTAGTCATACAGGACTCCCTCTGTCTTCTCTCTTTTTCCTCCTGTCTCTGTCACTCTGTCCCTGCTTGCTTTCACGCTCTATTTCCTCCCATCCACTTCCAGACTCCCTCTACCTCTTGGTCTAGCTATTCCATCTTCTTTCTTTATTTCCCCTTTATGTTCCCATCACCATTTTCATGACCTATCATGGGAGGGGCCTACACGCCTGCTCTTTCTGGCATGTGTACAGTACATGCTTGAGAGGAGAAGGTATTTGAACAAGTGTGTCTTCTTTATTTCTTAGAGCAAGGCCTCTCTTTCTACACTGTGTGTCCTTGACTCTGTCCTTGTCTAAAGCCGAAAATTCTGCAGCAACACAGAGTTTCCTCTCCATTTATAACAGGTTGTTCTGCCCCCCCCCCTTCACTAGGCCGAGGTTGCCAAATCATTCCATTATCTGTGAAAAGGCCTCTGACGAGCACAAGGTTTCTTGTCAGCAGGAGAGTATCTTCAAGGTTTACTCCATCTCAGGAAGAGTGGTTAAATTCAGTATCAGCAGATTGTAGCACACCGTCAGTGAGGGTTGCAGTGTTTTGTTTTGGTGTGCATCATTTTCATGTTTTTGTGCGACATGCTAATCTCTGTACCAACACCCACACAAATGAAGATATCTCATTCCTTTGCTGACAGGATGAGTAGTTTTCCCCTTGTGTTGCTGTGTCCATTATAGATTGCAGATCCAAATTACTGCAGCCATGTCCTTGAGAATTAACCTTCATCTCTTCTGAAGAGACTATAACACATGTCCATCACCTAAATGCCTACAGGAGGGCAAAGAGTGGGGCATACAGTCAGTCACGCTCCCTCTGTGTCTGTCAGCCATAACCTGTGTCTCTCGTCCGTCCAGGCTCGCTGTCTTTATTATTGATGACCAGTGGGCCAGCAGGCGAACACTAGGCCCCACCCGCCGCTCCTGCACTGTGCAGTAAACACACACACGCACATGCACGCTTCTATATCATGCGCACCTTTGTATGCAGCACCAAGTCATGTTGACCTTGGGAAGTGTTTATATTGTGTGTGTGTGTGCGTGTGTGATGCAAAATGATGCTGCGATTCTGTGCAAAGTCGGGAAACTGGCTTTTTCACTTCCTGTATATTTTATCCCTTCCCATTATGTCTCTTCCTACACTCTTTCTGAATCTCATAAACACTCATGATAGCCTAGACTGTTTTTGCTGTGTCACTGTTTATCTTATACACATAACAGTGCCTTCCAGTCAAATTAAGTGTCAGATGAAATTACCCATAAGTCATTTAATGTGAAGCTTTGTGTGTTTTTGTAGAAGCACTGCAAAATACTAACATGGGGCTTCCTTGTGCTCTATAGAGAGTTATTCAAAAGAAATCGATTAAGCTGGTGTGAGCTTTTTTGATTTTAATGTGTGTTTCTGTAAAAAGATTCAGTTTTGCAGAGTCATACTTGTGAAATGTGAAACTTGTGAGTTTAAGACCGTTTCTCAGACAGCCTATTCAGTGCTTTGTTTGTCCAAGGGGTACAGGGGGGTTGAGTTGGAGAAGAGGAGCATGCAGTGCATTCTAAATCTGAGATTGTGAAATGTTGTGTTGGTCAGTGGGGGTTTGTTTCTCCTATATCAGATTTTTGTGAATAAAATCCTCAATTAAAGCACAAAGCTGGTTTTATTATCCTTTTTATTAATCCTATGAATGAAACAATACTACAACAAATATATCCTGCTAATAAAGAAAGTGCCATAGATCTCCACTGAAAAATATTGAAAACACTTGAAAGAGCCAGACCATTGCATTTAATAACCTTCTATCTTTACAATGACCATGGACAGTGTTGTTTATTTTGAAACAACCCTACGACTGAATTTGCTAGCACTAGTGAAAATGCCTGAAAATAGTGTTGAAAAAAAAATCTAATCGTGAATCATATTGCAATTGCAATATCCGTCAAGATAATCACAGTATGACATTTTCTTATCATATTGTGCAGCCCTACTCAAGGATGTGGTCCCTGTTTATAGCACAACTGTATTGGCTAGGTTCATTGTAAGGAAGAAATATGTCACCCAAATGCAACAGTGCCGCTCCTTTATGTGTTTTTAGTATGTTTTGGATATTGCTGTAGTTATCAGACAAAAGCTATATGAAGCTTAAGCTACAAAGACAGAAATTGTTTTGTTTTTTTAATGCCAGAATTATCCTTTTAACGGTCCAGTGTGTAACATTTAGGAGGCTCTGTTGGCATAAATGGAATATAATATGCATATGTATGTTTTCATTTGTGTATATCAGAATTGTTTTTATGGGGCCATGTTAAACTGTCATGTGTCTACAGTAGCCCAGAACAGACAAACCAAACAATAAAACCAGTGGTTGCAATCTGCAAATTCAACGCTAGATGCCACAAAATCCTACACGCTGGTCCTTTAAATGTGACAACATTGGCCATGCCGCAGACAGACAGAAGGAGAACACAGAATATTAGGTATTGTACGCCATCTATTGTTTCATCAGTCTTGAATCCTCTTCTCTTCTCTGTCTGCAGGAGCATGACATTGAGACTCCCCATGGCGTTCTCCATGTGACAATGAGAGGTGTTCCCAAGGGCAACAGACCCGTCATCCTCACCTATCATGACATCGGCCTTAACCGTGAGTCAGCCAAAAATGGACTCATCAATACACAGTGTGCTGGATGTGATGAAACTGTTTTATTTTAGCCTCTGCATCTGACGGTCACACTCAGGTCCCCGACAGAGTTTGAACTCCTGAACTCTCACATTACGTGTCCTCTGTTTGCACCTTTCTAGACAAGTCGTGCTTCAACACCCTGTTCAACTATGAGGACATGCAGGAGATCACGCAGCACTTTGCAGTGGTTCACGTGGATGCGCCCGGCCAGCAGGAGGGTGCACCTCCCTTCCCCAGCGGGTGCGTGTCAGACTGGTTTTACAAGTACTGATAAATGGGAGCACAGTTATTTTCTGTGCCGCAATCAATTCACTTAGTTAAAGTGAGCTGGTAGGTCATTTGCTAATGGAAGCACAGTATTTAAATTTATGATGAACCCAATTTCTCTGGTTAATTCAAACATAAGGAAATGACCCTGTTCTTACTACGGACATGGACTCACATGCATTTCATTTGTCTCCAGTTATCGCTACCCAACCATGGACGAGTTGGCTGAAATGCTGCCCTCTGTGATGACTCAGCTCAAGTAAGTGACCCTCTGTGTTGATAGCTGATCAGTAATTGACCATTCACCTCAAGTCCCACGGTAACCGGTGGCTTCTCTGCAGGGTCAACAGCGTGATCGGCATTGGCGTGGGAGCAGGAGCGTACATCCTCAGCCGCTTTGCAGTGAGTCCCCATCAGGACCACGGCATCTATGCTTTCAACCTTTTTTATTTTAAGTCTTTCTTTTTTTGTCCACCTCTCTGTCTCGCCTATAATAATTGAAGCTTTTCAGGCCACACATTACTAAACATTAAAGCCTGCTATCAAGCCCACACAGGGCATCAGGTTTCTCAACAGTCTGCTGCATATGCTACCATTCCCCAGATGATGAATCACCTTGGTGATTCTCTCCTTTTCAGTTGTTTTCGTCTTGTTTCCACACTCAACGCAGCACAGCTAAAATAAGCACGATCTGTGTACAATAGAGCAGAAAGAACTAATGGTGACAGAGAGGAGCGAGGGAGCACTGAAAGATGAATAATGAAAAGAGAGGATGGTGGTCAGAGGTAAAAAGGGATGGTGGTGGGATTAGCAGAGTGTCTGTTCTTGTTTAGAATTAATAAAGAAAATTCATTCTGAAATGTGTTTGCTTTAACTGGCTTAGAACAAAATGTGTTTACCATCAATAGATTTATAGCAGCTGTTGCTGCATTGCATTTGCAGCATCCGCAGTATTCCCTCAGCATTGGGCGAGATGGATCAGATCTTAGATTTCCCCAGACATCCTCTTTCTGTCTTCAGGCAATTCCAAAACCGCACCCCTTAATTTAAAAGCCCACGATTTCGTCTTCATTGTTTCATGTCTTCATTGAAAAGCACAGACATGCTTCACTTTTTGTCCTGCTAGATAAATGTCATCAACATCAAAATCTTTTATTTAAATATTGGGCAAAATATTAAATTAACTTCACACTGTAGGGCTGCACAATAGTGAAAACAGAGAACTGTAACTCCACCACAGCACACATAATGCCAGATAACACCCATGCAGGACTCTGTTATTGGTCAAAAAGTCATACTTTTAAGTTTGCACTGACATGCGTCATTTCCTTTCCAGCTGAACAACCCCACCCTGGTGGAGGGTCTGGTTCTGATCAATGTTGACCCATGCGCTGAAGGCTGGATCGACTGGGCAGCTTCGAAGGTCAGTATTGAGTCGTAGTATCACCACTGCACCATGAACCTAGAGAGTCCTACGGACCCTCTGCAATGTGGCGCAATACTTAAATAATTTACCAGCCATTTAAGTCTGGTTTCCAGGCTTTTTGTCAGGTTGTTGTTAATAAATGCATTTTGGAGTTAAACCACTCTACTTTATGCTCTCTACCTTAATTACTATTTTATGTTATTTATGCCTAGCATTTCATTCTATTTTATATGATGCAAGAAGTAAATAAGATTACTAGTTATAGAATCACGCATGCTGACACCAAGCCACTGTTTACGATATATTGTTTTAAAGACACTTCAAAAAGGTTTATTTTCTGTCTTGAAGTGTTGGATTTAATGACATTAAAGACACAGACAGGGGCTCTTATCCTGTCTTAAGTTGATTATACCTGCAGTTTTTGGTTTAAGGACACTCCAAAGTTAATGAAAATACAGATTCAGATTTTACTGGACACACAATACTTCTGGTGTTTGTTCCTTCTGATTTGTTTCATTTTGAGTGGAATAATTTGTTTCAAGTACAGGGCACAGTGTGTCACAATACTGCCGTACACTTTTATAATGTAATACTGTGAACTCTACATTGTTGTGTGTACTGTGCTGGGGGAACATTCTTTGCAGTGTTACTGTTGCACACAGACGTGGAACCAGGGGGAGCTTGATACGACCTTTGTCCCATATAAATTAAAATCACAGTCCTTCATCTGTTCTGTTGTTATTATTTGGCTCAACCAAGAAAAAATTTAGAAAAGATTATTGGATAGTGACAGTAGTGCTAGAAACAGAGAGAGAGAGAGAGAGACAGAGAGGTAAAAGTAGGAACAAAGCTGCCTGTTCCACATTGAACTGGGAAGGTTGCATTTGTAATAGTATGCCTCCTACTAGGTCACCAGGACGCCATATCCTTCTCAATTTCTAAAACTTAAACATGGCTTCTCTGTATTTTTGCTTCTTTATAAATGTGGACATTAAAATCTGTCAATACGTACACAACATATAGACAAAGGCATAGTTATATAGTCACAACCATAAGGTGCCTGGGTATATTCCCAGTCTTAACTGAATGTCTGTCTTCCCCTCGTGTGCAGCTGTCTGGATGGACCAGTAATTTGGTGGACATCATAATGGCTCACCACTTCAGCACGGTGAGTTTCTCTTGCAGTACATTAGTCGCGCTGTGCTTTTTTTTTATTTTTTTAATGCTGTTGACCTTTTTCATTGACGGTATGAAACTAAAACTGAACCTCAGGAGGCTTTTCTTGATTTCCCTCGATATCTTTACCTCATCTCACTCTTATAACAGACGTTTACTAATTAATCTATTTCTGTTCTCGTGGATACATAGACTGGTGGATTGTGACATGTCGATTACAGACTCAGTTTAATAACTGACAGTGCTGGAGATAATCATATTGTAAATCTCACAGCTTGTCTGGATGACTAACTCAAACTTTAACAGCTCCCTGTACTTTCAACACATGCTACTTAAATGTACTTTATATGGAGTCTCTTAACTTAATTCAAGCTCTTTATGGCTCATGATAGTAAAGTTTTCCTGTTCTGATCTTGTTTCACTCTGTTCTGTTCACCAGGATGAGCTGACAGAGAACCAGGAGCTGATCCAGACCTACCGCCTCCACATCGCCCAAGACATCAACCAAGACAACCTGGCCCTCTTCTGTGGCTCCTACCAATAGTATGATGCAGTACATAAACATACACTGTACATTAATGTTTTTGTAGGCAGTGTCCAGTATTCTTCCCTAATTTCTTATTGTGTTCTTGATCACATTTATGGGTACAAATGAGGCTTGTAAATTCTTCTTCTGCTATCAGACCTTTCTGTAAAATCTGAATACATAGACAGAATCAAATCATAATTTGTCTCCCTGCACCAGCCGTCGGGACCTGGAGATCGAGAGGCCAATCGTAGGTCTCAATGAGGACACAGTCAACACACTAACGTAGGTTTTGAGACTAAGGAGACATAAGTAAATATTTGTCTCTTCTCTGAGAGTACAGAGAATATTTACAGTTTATCGTTTTGCCATGCAGGTGCCCTGCTTTGCTAGTGGTTGGTGACACATCACCTGCTGTGGAGGCTGTGGTGAGTTACACTGCATCATCTCAGGAACCTAAAAAGCGTTTGCTGTTATTCTCTTTTTTGAGCTCAGAATTCATCTCTCAATAATCTTCCAGGTGGAGTGCAATTCCAGGTTAAATCCAACCAAGACCACACTGCTAAAGGTTTGTAATGTATTTGTTAATGAATAAAATATATGCTGTACAAAGAATTAATTAACGAGACTGATCATTATCTTTCAGATGGCTGATTGTGGAGGCTTGCCCCAAGTTGTGCAGGTGGGTTTTTGTTTGATGATACACAATTCCATGTCATCTAGCAATTTTCATGTCTAAATTATCTTCTGACTTTTATCCTTTATCTGTTCACAGCCGGGAAAACTTGCTGAGGCCTTCAAGTACTTTGTTCAGGGAATGGGCTACAGTAAGTAAACACTCTCACACGTCTTTTGCTACTTGTGGTTAGTGAGTAAAAACATCTCAATATAAAATGATACTGGTTCAAACTAGCCGACTCTACATTCACTGTCCATGAATTGTTTACAGACTAAAACCTTTTTGGGCTGACGTGTTTGTGGTCAAGAATTTCCTGTTGACGTGAGTGCAGTGAAAAAAGGTTATTTAAATGAGGATTGTTTTTCACTTGCTTAAACACCCCTGCTGATGGGGTTTGGACTGCGGCCAGCAGTGCATGAAAAGACACAGTTTTTTGTCATCCTGGTCACGGAGAGGCAGCTTGTGCAGCTCGGTGGATGCTAACGCCGTTTCCTCTGCTCTTTGCAGTGTGTGGCCATCACAACCCTCAGTAGGTGAGGTGTAAATGTATCTAGCATGATTGAAATGACAGTGTCACTCGAGTTATGCTGAACAGCAATTCGCTTCCTGTTCAGTTAGGAGTGGGTGTCAAAAAGTACCCTCTGTTTTTTGGGTTTTCTTTGTGCCTGGTGTGCTTTTCTTTTCTATCCAGAACTGTTTAATAATGCAGTGTCTTTCTAGAGAGACTCCAAGTGCATCTTTAAACAGGCCTTCAGGTTTTTACAGTCACTCATCTGCAAAGGAAAAGAACAACAAACACATTGCTATCAGACCGTACTGGCTTGCAGTACACCAACCAGACTCAGCCCCACTGATGGATGAAGTCATGAATGTAGGTTTGCTTGCTCTGGCCATACAGATGACACCTGTCTGCCTGGGTTTTTCTGTAATGCTAATTCTCTTTTTGCTCTCTCCTATTCCCAAACCCTTCAGCGTGGGAGGCAACCTCGGCTGTAGCTAGTATGTCGGGGCCTCTCCATTGCTTTAAAGGCCACCGCGTCCCCCTGTTGAGTAAATGCCACTGCAGGATTAGAACAGATTAAAAAGAGTGCTTTCACATGGAGAAAGTGTGGAAAATAAATCTTAACACCTCAGCGTGTTTGTGAAAGCTGCTTTTCCCTCATTAACACATTGCCACAGTGTGAAATGCACAAGAGAAACCACCAAGAGGTACAGGAAATAAAGATTCTTGTTTGCACACATGCTATGATTTCTTACCTGTTGGTGATAGCAAACAGCTTTTGTCCTCAAGCTGCAACAAAGCCTCAGTTTGAATCCCACATACACTAAGGTGGGACAAAGTAACATGAGAGCTACCTTTTCAACATGTCTCCCTTTCTCCCTCTTTCTTTCCTTCTTTAATCATTGCTTACAGTTCCCTACGTTCTTCTCAGTCACCTGAGCAACGAATCAGGTACCGGGTTCTTGAGCAGCTGTCAGTCTAGAAGGCTTTGAACCCAATGGCCTTTTAACACCCCACAGTGGATGAATGTCAATGTATGCAGAAATTCTCCAGAGAGCACTGTTTCACATTGGTATTCAACAGCAGCTCAGTGTGGTGGATACAGTCAGTATTATGCACAGTGAGATCTTTCTGCATACTTTGACACACATTCATCTCTCTGTAGGTGTTTAGTTTGTCCTTTTAGTATGGATTCTGTCCTCCTCAGTGTCCTGTTTTGTTGCATGACCTGCTGCTGTGGCTTCCTGTCAGTTCAGTTGGATTGCATATGCTGTACTCTGCTGTTGTATTCTTTTTTTTAATTTCAACAGTGGACATAATTTTACACATTTCTTTTATTTGATTGGTCTCCATATTTGAGAATTGTTTGCATGGTAAGCACTTTTTATTGTTGTTGCATCTGGGTATCTAAGTGTTCCCACACTGCACTCTCCAGTCTCCAGGCAGCGTGAGTGGAATATTAATGCATGTCTCTCGTTTTCAGTGCCGTCAGCAGGAATGACTCGTCTGGCTCGCTCGCGCACCACCTCCTCTTCCAGCATCACCTCCATGGACAGCACTCGCAGCCGCAACAACCTCAACAGCCTGCTGGAGGGCAGTGCCACCGGGGTCCTGGACAACCAGGCCGGCCCCCAGACCATGGAGGTTTCCTGCTAAAGCCCACCCCACCCCACCCCCTGCACACTCCCATAGTAACTTATGTGCCCCCCTCTCCCTCTCTCTCTCTCTCTCTCTCTCTCTCTCTCTCTCTCTCTCTCTCTCTCTCTCTCTCTCTCTCTCTCTCTCTCTCTCATCTCGCTCCTAAGCCACTCCTCGCCAGGAGGATCTGTAATGAACTATGTGATTAGAAAAAGAGGATGTAATAAATATATTAACAGATGCATATTATTAAATATTGAATATTGAATACACTGTCAAAGTCACATTCCGACCAGAAACCATAACTACATTCAGATGTGTTGTATATTCAAATGGTCAAACCATATCATTAACTCATCTGTCCCACCTCACCCCCTTTGTATTTATTTTTTTCACATTGTCTTTGTTTTAAATGTCTTCACACACACTGTAGAAATCTTTCATGTCTTCAAAATAACTTGTATATTTCACACATTCATATTTTTCATTGCACGGTACATCACTTTTACTATCTCTTTGTTGTGAACTTTAAAGTTGTGGACTGCATTGATGGTGAGTCATCGCATCTGTTTTAATCTCCAACTTGCTGCAATGTGATGCCAAATTAGTCCCAAGGTATACAGAGGGATCACTAAACCGAGAGTGGTAAAACATGGAAAAACCACTGTAGACTGTAACACACTGTCAGTACAACTGAATCAAAGCTGTAGAGAGAGCTGCTTTGGAAAGAAACGAACATTCAGTGTTAGGGAGAAGTCATGTACTTGTGTGTCAACTCTGTCTCTTCACATACATTCATTTATTTTGGATTCTTTTTGTAATTGAACTCATCTCCTTTTCTTTCTGCTTTGTGTTGATGTTTTTGTTCAGTTGAATATATTATTCAGTGATGTTTTAACAACCTTTAACAAGTGGGTTCTAATGTGAAAAGTATGAGTCCCTTCACTTCGGGGCCCAGTGGTGCTTCTCACTGTCTGCTGATTCAACTCATTTATATTACTACTGAATAAAGCTACAACATGACAAAGTGCCTGGTGTTTGAATTTATCAGCAATAATTAAGTTCACTTGAATAACAAGTCTAGAGAATGTATTGGAAAGAAAGAAAGTAAAGTACTGTATCACTCAGTGCAGGGAGTACTTGTAACTTTCCTCTTCTGTTTGTGGAAAAGTTAGGTGACTGTGGTGAGTTAGTTTCCAACCACACTTGTTCTTATTTCCTCACAGAGTGACAACTGATGTTGTCAGATATGACACAGTCTATATTTAGAACTGATTACGAAAAAAACAATGGTCAGCTGTGCTGCAAATAAGATGAAGAGACTGACTTCAAATTTGATGTACAGAATGTTCGGGGAGTAGAACAAACGTTAATCTGATGTTGATATCAACCACTCAGGGTTCTCTTATTCCGTTGTGCAACACAAATGTTCCTCTGTTGATAGCAAAGAGGAATGAACCTCTCACCAAGTTCACACGGGTCGACAATATCTGTACACTGTAATGCAAAAACCCTGCAATCAATACTGTCCAATTTATGTTGAGTTCTGTGTTGTAGCTTTAATTCTGGTGATTATTACTGGCTTTATGGTATTAAATATGATAATCCAGTATTCAATTACAACATTTTTGCCCTAAAAAACTTATTGTGCAGTTAGATTACATATTTACATGAACTAATGTAGAAAACCATTTATGATGGTACGGAATGATTTATTTGTTGATAAGAAGTTATTTCAATCTACGTTAACATGCTGTTCTTATGCAGCCTTTATAGAACAACTCAGACCTGTGCTGGTAAAGATTGTTTTATTGTTTCCACTCATGGTAGAATTGCTCTTTTGCTTCTATAGAAGATTACAGTACATCTGATTAAAAACTGCAACAAGAAGAGATCAGCATTTTTGTGGCCTTGTCAAAGTCATCTCTCTCAGCAGGGACCGAAACCAATAATTAAAATCATTTCTGCCATCTCTGCAGGCGCGTATCTACATTCATTGGGTAGCAAGAGGGTGGCATGGAGACTTGTGAAACATATGCTGATTTAATTGCAAACAATCACATGTCAATATTTGCTTAGAAAAGCCCACAGCTGAAGATATTTCCGAGTTCAAAAACATTGCATTGCTGCGGCACATTAGTAAAACATTATATAGAAAAACTAAAGGTGACATTATAAATCAATAATTGTTTTACATCCAAGTCCTCAAACATTTTTCCAAATACATGACATTGAAATTAAGCCTAGTCTAAAATGTGTATTTAAGTCATTAAATTACATGTATTAATTTATGTTAACACATAAAACATAATTTTTAAATTAATCTTCATTAATGTGATGAATTTGACTGCAATTGTCATCAAACTGGGGTGGCCAGGCACCCCTCTAGAACTGCCCCTGCATCTCTGATATAATAATGAATATATTATAGCTTAGGGTTGCACAAGTGTCACTAAATTAATGATTAATTGTTGTTATTAATTGTCTTCCTTCTGATTTCCCTGTACAAAATGCCCTTATTGCCAGTCCCATTGCTCCACTGCTGCTGTTATTCACTGTGCAGTGTCAGCATGATGGATGAACTGACAGCTGATAAATTAGTGCAGGAGTACAATGGCAGGGGAATCAGATGTTAACTTCAATGGCATCATTTTACCATGACTGACACAACAACCGAACATAAATACAGGGGGAATGTGGTCAACCATTTCATCACAGATGTTGTTTTGCCCAGTGTGACCCTAATTAAGTGTCAGTGTGAAATTATGTCACTGTATCAAGATTATACATGCTTACGTAGACATACAGTTCATTCCATAAACAAGTGATGCGCTATTAGCTCCACTTGAAAACATTTTGCGTAAGAGATCAACATGTGCTGTTTTAAGTCAGGATGTCAAGGTCTTGAGCGTCACAGGAAGCTGCAGCAGGGTGACATACATAAAGGCCGTGCAGGAAGCCTCGTCTCTTCAGTCAGCCCCCACTATACACAGCTGCGAAAACACAGCAGCCTTCATGGGAACAGAGCAGAGGAATGAGCACAGTCATTCTGATTGATCAGCAGACGTGACTGGGAGCTTAGACATAGACAGCAAGGCATTCACATACGTGTGTGTGTGTAGAAGGCAGACAAGCATTTCATAACAAAGATTTGGAGTTTACTGGCCGATCAGAGAAGGCTCTGACTCACTACTTGTGCAGAATATCTTTTTTGGGGCAAACATTTCTATACAGAAACTAAAGGAGGTGAGTATGTTACTTGCTCTGATGATGGTCTCTCTTTCTTTCTTTCTTTCTTTCTTTCTTTCTTTCTTTCTTTCTTTCTTTCTTTCTTTCTTTCTTTCTTCAATGTCTTGAATTTTAACTCCAGAATATTAGTAAACGTATTGCCTGGTCACTTGTATTGTATGAAATATTAATTATTGTCACTTAGCGATCAACATGCACTACAGATTAATGGAGAAATTAGTTACTGGTTAAATGTTTTATTATTATTTAAGCTATTCTATTAACTTGCTGCTGCTAGTGTGAAAAATGCATGATGAGAACAAAATCTCATCTTCGTCTTTATTCCTCGCAAACATGCTGTATGGAAAGTTAACACAGGATATCAATGCCTCTTGTTGTGGTTGGGCGCCTTCCTGTGTCATATGGGTTCCGTTGCCAGGTTACAAAATAGTGTGCGGTACCTGTGAGCTGTTTCACTGATGGAAGTCATAATGTGATAACTAGGCCGGGGGATAATTAAATTACAAATCTGAAGGTTATTGAAGGCCTTTGAAGACACACCATTTTCTAATTATGCTCCCCCCATCTCACAGTTTCCTTTCTCTCTCTCTCTCTCTCTCTCTCTCTCTCTCCTTTTGCAGCCACAAGAGCCATTTCAAATCAGCAAGAAGTCAAAAAACATGGGGACCTGCCCCATCAGATGTCAATCCAACATGACAATCCTAGAAAATCCACCTGTGACACCAGGTAGGTTATATCCACAAGTCATCAACACACAAAATAAAAATAAGAAAAATGTAACATATGAAACTCTTTATTTGTTGTATTCATTTCCTCCTCTCTTTCTCTGCAGCTCTCCCGGACAGCATGATTATATCCCTCTGTAACTACCCTTCCTTTGGGCACACAGAATTGACCATGTGCATTGGGGAACTACTCACCATCATATCCGAGTATGTGATGTGGCTCATAGTGTTTCACCTTCACCCTTGTTTACACCTGGACAGACACAATAAGTCATGGCTGCTTATTTTCTCCAACAGCGACGGTGATTTTATGATGGTGAGATCCACAACCACAGGCCGGGAGAGCTACATTCCCACCAACTACACCGCCAAGGTTACACACAGGTAATTCACTGTCACTGTAAGCGTATGTGTAAAGAACAACTGTCTCATTATCGTGACTGAGAAAGCAGAGGACTTGTACAGAGGTGAAGTGAACGGCAGGGGGTTCCCTGTCAGGTAGGAGGAGTCTCTGTGTAGGTGGCCTCTCCCTCAGTGGAGACAGGGTTTTGGAACAAGTCATCAGTTCTCTCCAGTGAAATGTCATCAGCCTCTGCCTCCTGTAGTTTCAGACCTCCTCCAGTGGGGAATGTGCTTTGATATTGTTCCAGTGGATTTTCCAAACTTGAAAACACTGTCTTAATGCCCCACTTTGTTTTTTTACTGTTCAGGTGGCTGTTCACAGGCATCAGCAGGTACAAAGCAGAAGAGCTGCTCCTGCAGCCTAATAACCAGAGCGGAGCCTTCTTGATCCGAGAGTCAGAGACAAACAGAGGTAGGTAGAGGGTTGTTTCTTGGGTTTTTCATTATGAATTTCATTATGAACATATTCAATCCAAGCCCAACACTGTAGCATCAATTAACTAAAATATTATGTCATCATCTTAATTATATGTAATGCAGTTTCCACAGTTTAGATAATTTTCTTTTACATCACTAGAATTGCTTCATGTGCTTTAGAAACATCTGAGATTATAGTTTAGGAAAGATAAGGAATATGAATCAGACTTGCAAAATTAAAAATCAAGAGCCATATAGTTTAACTGCTGCATCTGTGCATTTTTTTAATGTTCAGACTGTTACTCGCTGTCCATCCTGAGGAGGACCAACTCTTCGTACCAGCACTGTGTAAAGCACTACCGCATCTCTCCCCTACAAAATGGCTGGGTCTATATATCTCCAGGACTCACCTTCCCCTCCCTGCATCACCTAGTTGAACACTACTCAGGTTTGTACTGAGGATGTAATGCTGTTTTCTTCTCTGGACATACAAGAGACAACTCTAAATTCATATTAGATATTAGATCATAGATATTAAAATGTTGTCTCCTTTCCCAGAGTCTGCAGATGGTCTGTGCTGTCGGCTGACGGGGCCTTGCCTCATCGAGGGTTACGACAACGCCAGAGAAGCCAGGCCTGTGCCCACAACTGTCAGGAGGCCTACTATCAACTGGAAGGACATTAGCAGGTGTGGCAGTCTCTCTCTCTCTCTCTCTCTCTCTCTCTCTCTCTCTCTCTCTCTTTTCTCTCTCTAGCCTTGTTTTTACTGATGACTGCCACAAGATGTCACTCTACTACTTGTTGTAAAGTAGAACATGAGCACCTGGTGGCGTCATAGTAGAAGGCAGTTGATAAATCCTCTTTGTCAAGCTTATTATTTTAAGTGTTTGTTGAGAGTGTGTCAGAAATATGTTGATTTGTTTACACACCTGTTAAAATAGTCCTAGACACTGTACACTGAATATGAATGATTAATATTATGATCATATTAGTCCTTTAAAGTAAAATCTGTTTCTGCCTCCTCCAGGTCAGTGATCTTCAGGAGGAAGAGAACAGAGTCAGACAACTCTCTGGTGAGCGAGGGGCTGAGGGAGGCCATCTCCTCCTACCTCCAAATGACAGAGGGCAACGATCATAGCTGGGACACTTGAGGGAAGACAGTGGATCAGTGTGACAGAATGAAGTCAGACAGAAGGAGCTCAGTCAGATGCTGGCCTGTCTCATCTGCAGTCTCCTTAGGAATAGGTCGTCAGCAGCACGCCCAAATGTAGTCTTCGTATATCGCCCTGGAGTAGCAGGAGGGCCGAGACACTACAAAGCTTGGAGATGTGACATACTGTATGTCAGCAAGAAGACGCTTTTAGGCCCACACAGGCACACAGTGGAGGTGTGGGCTGAAAACTGAATGTCACTGAAACATATGTTATCATCTGGTTGAATGTTTCTCTTAATTTATAACCTAATATGTATATGATGGTTGAATGCAATATGTCAATTATATTGTAATATGATTATTCTAATGGTAATGTTATTGGAATCCAATAAAATAAAATAAAATAAAATAAAATATGTATGTGATAAATTAAATGAACACATATAAATATAACCTAAACACAAAAGAGTCTGGTTTGTATTTTCTTCGTATAATAACATTGTATGTTATAACAATAAACTATATATATATATACATATATACATAAAACCACTGAGACACTTGGTTATTGCAGAGTGTGCATCTCTGCCAGCAGATGCCGCTTAATTACCTCCAATATATTCATCAAAGCCTTCCACTTCCTGCCCGAACAGCTCAGTTCAGGAAGAAGAAATAATGGCGACGCTTCTGGGGTCCGAGTCCCCTTGTACTGGAGGAAAACGAAGAAATTGCAACAGCAATATCGTCACAAAGTTCACGGCCAGTAAAATTACTGGCCAGGGTTTCAGTCGAGGGACACAGGTAAGAAAAACGATGCATGTTTCGGCTGTAAAGACCTGCGAAGGTTGGTCGACGGAGACCAGGGACTTGCGCTTTGAATCCAGCCTGAAAATGAAGACGTTGTCCTGGAGACTGGACTGGAGATGTAGTCGCCCCTGTCAGCGGTGGCTGTACAGCTAGCTACCACATTACGGGGTTATTTAAACACGCAAACCGTAAGCTTTTACTCAGTTGAGTTCTGGATAATAATATTTTCTCGCTGACAGTGAAAATAACGATTTGCTTTACGAAAAGTGTATGAAACAAGCTCCGTTTCAAGTGGGTCTTTTGTTGTTAGCGCCACGTTAGCTTAGCATTATAGGCCAGGATAACTACGATATAAAAACGCTTAGAAGTGAAAGTTTGTGTGGCTTTTGTTGTTGTTCGGACGCTGGGGTGTCGGTGTTACTAGAGAGACTGTGGTTAATTTTTGTAAGCACTTAAATCCACGGCAGTAACATTTGCTAATGTTAGCAGACGGGCTAACGTCAGCTAACGTTGCTAGCTAAGCCAGCTGAACAGCTCAGGTGATTACGTAACGACACACTAACCACAATAACCATCGTTTCCATAAATGGAAACGCCTCAACAGCTGTTTTGGCAAGTTAACGTTAGCAAGTTTATTTTTATTTCCACTGAAGTACACATTTAGACGATATTTGTAACTTTGCAGCACATATTTGTTCGGTTAGTGTTGATGTAACGCTAGTTCACGTCAATTGTTTTGATGGGTTTTAAAGCACAATGAACGTCACACCTGTCCTGACATTTTGACGCAGTCAGCTGCTGTATATCTGTCTCACTTTGTTCCTCACACTCAAGTGACTTAAAGCCCTCAAAGTGCAGAGCTGATAAAAGCCAGGTATTACTGTGCAGCCAGTGTCGTGCCTTTTACCTTCCTTGCTGACTTGCAGTTTTCAAGGTAGTGTCTCTCAGAAGTGAAATACTATTATCCTAAAATTTTCAAATTCCCCAGATAACCTTGGAAATGTGGAATTTGACAAGTTTTCCAAGACACTGTGTTTGAATTTGCACACTTTGCAAAATACACAGTTGTTAAGCCATTTCTTTTTGGTGTCTAGGAAGGCTTTCCAGGGAGTTGGTCACCATTAAGAAGCTGCTGTTGAGAACATTCCTCAAGAAAGTTACTTCCCCAGTCCTCTTTTCAGCACAGTTTGTTACTTGAAGAGGAAACCATTTGTTCATTGGACTCAGTGGTTGTTAGTATTGCATTTTTAAAATGGTCGGATAGTAATTTTTTGTTTTGCTTTGGGGCAGATGGAGTATCCAATATCTCGAATGAGAAGCGTTATAGTGAAACCTGTGTGAACCTGTGTGAGCCTTTTGTTTTGGTCCTACTGATTTCCTGGGCTTTTGAAGCACTTTAAAGCCAGTTGGTGCCAGTTGGGGGGGTGTTGAATGACACTAGGATTGGGCTTGTTTGTTATTACACTGATCACCTATATAGAGGAAATAAAAAGCAACTATTAGCGCAGAGAGATCAATGCTTTTGATATTCTGTTTCTACTAAGAGCCATGCAAGTTGCGGAATTATCATGTAATTTCTCATGCATATCTGTGAAAGCATAACCTTTTTTATTTTTTAAGTGTTTCGCTCTGCTGCACCTTGTAGCCTTGCTCCACCATATATTTGCACCTGGTGACTATGAGCCAGGCCAGGACTCTCTTGACCTACAGTTTTATTTATTAGACTGATAAAGTAAAAATCTGAAGTTGCTTTCGGTTTCTGCTCTCTTTGTTGTAGTCTGCTAAATGACCTGGGGTGTGGCTCTTATCTCACTTAAAATAAGACCCAAAATCTTGCTGTTCTCTGGGGCATGTTTTCTGGGGGGAGATTATCTGAGACTGTGGTTTTATATGCAATAAGTGTTAAATATTTAAATTTGCTTGACCACACATGCATACACTTGTGTGTGTATCTATATTTATTACTCTGAATGAAACATGCCATTAATGCCAGAATAAAGTTTAAGTTGTTCTCTGTAGCACTGATGCAATTAACCATACATTTTTCATTGCCTATATTGCACTATTTAAGGTTGCCTCTGTGTGCGTGTTGTAGCTCCCAGGAGGCCTGCTCCAAGAGAGAGATAAACGGGCCAAGTGGCATGGCATCCCTACTCTGCTGCAGAAGCTCTACGAGAGCAGCCATCCCAACAGTGACCTCTCCCATGCCCATAGCTTTCTTAAGGTAACCACACTGGTCCACACAACAGTGAGGCTGTGTAATTACTGGTTTTAGCCACTTTTAGCTTCATTTTGGAGCCTGGGTGATGTAAATTACATGTGGACAATGGGTTTTTTGTCAGGTATTATCATCCCAGCTCTCCATGGAGGCCATGTCTTTTGTCACGGAAGACAGGAAGACCGCTCAGGAATCCACCTTCCCCAACACATACACCTTTGACCTCTTTGGTGGAGTCGATGTAAGTTTGACATTCTTCGTGCTTTATGCTCTGTAATTATTGGACTCAGATGTTGGAGAATCAGTTAACATGTGTTGTACAACCCAGTACTGACACACTGTTGATATAAACTGCATGGGCTCACAGCACTGAATGCTCATTTTCCTGTTTCCCTGAAGCTGCTTGTGGAGATCTTGATGAGACCCACATTAACTATGCAGAAGAAAAAACCCAAAAGTGAGTAGGACTGACATCACATCTGTGTATATGTCTGCTTTTATTGGGAAGTTAACAGGTTTTTACCTGATATAATTAATTTAAACTTAATGATACTTTTTGACAACTAGTTTAAACTCTGTTTCTGTAACAGTGAATGATGACTTGGTCAAGGACTGCCTTAGTGTGCTCTACAACTGTTGTATATGTGTAAGTATCCTATTACATTTTGTACATACCAGAGAAATGTCAGAGGTGCATCATACCTTGCTTCAGTTTAGCACATGTACATAACTTGATGAATTTCTTGCAGTTAGTTTGTCCTGTTATATTTTCTCAAAACAGGATCATGTTTACAGACAGGAATGGGCATGATCTAATTAACGTCCAAATGTTCTTCTTTCAAAACACAGACGGAAGGGGTCACAAAGAGCCTGGCAGCGAGGGATGACTTTGTTCTGTTTCTCTTTACGCTGATGACAAACAAGAAGACCTTCCTACAGACTGCTACCCTTATTGAAGATATTCTTGGAGTCAAAAAGGTCAGAGTTGTACTTAATTCCTCAGCCTGAGCATGTAAAACACTCTTTATGGCCCTGCTAACTCCAGAATTAAAAGGCCTATGAAGTCTCTTTTGGATTTATATGGTGACATTTGGCAAGCCAGGGATCTTAGTTTTATGTCCACCTGTTTTCTTAAAAGACCAGTGTGTACAGTTTAGTGTCATCTAGCAGTGACGTTGCAGATCACAACCTTTTGAATACATCTCAGCATTCCTAGCATGTAGGAGGAACTATGGTGGCCATGGAACTCACAAAAAAGGCGAAAGGCTTTATCTAGAGCCTGTGTTTGATTTGTCCATTCTGGGCTACTGTAGAAACATGGCAGTTCAACATGGTGGCCTCCATAGATAAAAAGTCATTCTAACACAAAAAACAAGTGGGAACGCAATGATTCTTAGTTTCAGGTGGTGATGCAATATCTATTCCAATTCTGCCAATAGATCCTCTGAAATGTTACACACAGGACACTGGAAAGTCAGTCAAATTAAGTGTCTTATTTTTTTCTCTGTGAAAACGACAGGCTTTTTAATATTTGCTCTGCAGATAAATTAGCGTTATGTGCTAGCTCTATTGTCCATGTACAGACACCTCTAATGCCAGAATGATTGTGATTGTCACACTCATGCCTTAATTTTAGAATCATGCTGTGATGTTCTTCAACATTTTTAAACGCTCTTTGTCTAGCTCTGTATTGTAAAACATTTGGTAATTTAGCAGATTGCTTGGATTGTGTACACTGTAGCCTGTTTATTTTGCTTTGCGTTTACATTTCTTTGAACAGGACTTGTTATTTGTGCAGAACCCTAGAAGGTTAAACTATGACACTCAAAGTGTTAGTGCCTAAAATGTGGAGGCTTTGCAGACTCCAATTGTATTATGCATCTCCTCAAGTTACAATGACTTTATTATCTAGAACTAACTGAATTTTCTATCAGACAACTGTTTTTGTAGCAATGGAGAATTCAGTGTATAAAAACACCCATCCTCCTATGTGATTGTTTCAAGTGCCCTGTTCCAGCATTACAGTGGTTTGCATTCACCTTTGTCAATTAATAGTCCCAGAGAAGCTAATTTATGTGTAGGCATACCTTGCATGGATTATGTACCAGGCCCAAGGAATTAATCTTGAGTGTTTTTGCTCCCCGACTTCCCGTCCTGAGCATTTGTCATTATTTCTGATCAAACATCACAGGAAAGATTAACCATTGCTACAAACATGGAGTGAAAAAACATACAGGACACAGTGGACACATTATCTGTTTCATTATATAATATGTCAAAATTATATTGTGTTTCTTAAATATTTGAGTTAAATTTAGCTTAAACTGATCTATTGAAATGTGAAAAAACTGCCACAGTTTTAGCAGGTAGCAAATTCAGCCAGGCTCAATCTTTCAATCTCTTTTTAAGTATGTAAATGTTACAGTATGATTTCTGTCTATTTGCTAACAGTTTACATGTATGCATTTTCAGGAGATGATCCAGTTAGAGGGCATCCCTAACCTGTCAGGCCTGGTACAAAGCTTTGACCAGCAACAGCTAGCCAACTTCTGCCGTATCCTATCTGTCACCATCTCAGAACCTGATGTAGGAAACGATGACAAGCACACCCTCTTGGCCAAAAATGCCCAGCAGAAACGCAATGCTAGCCCTTCACGGGCAGAGGTCAACCAGGGTAGGTTGCCTTCAGAGTACAGAGGTTAAACTGACTACACAATGTATTGTGTGACCATTAAATGACCTTGTACTATTTCTCCAATAGTAACCCTGCTGAACATCCCTGGCTTCATTGAGCGGCTGTGTAAGCTGGCTACTAGAAAGGTGTCTGAGGCCACAGGAGCTAACTTCCTGCAGGAGCTGGAGGACTGGTACACCTGGTTGGACAATGCTCTGGTGCTGGACGCCCTCATGCAGATGGCTACTGAGGAGGCTGAACAAAGCAGTACAGGTGAGTCAAAAGTCTCTTGTGCTGCTTATTCCTCCCACTGTTTGTGTCCTATGAACATGGATTGAGATTTTCCTTCACCTTCAGAGTCATCAGATGAAAGTTCCCTGGCCACCAGCCCTCTGAGGCATCGACTGCCCCAGTCCATGAAGATCGTTCATGAGATCATGTATAAAGTGGAAGTGCTCTATGTGCTGTGTGTTCTTCTTATGGGCCGACAGAGAAATCAGGTAGTTAACGGCACACATCTCCTCCCTGCTTGAGCTTTAAGCTGAAATATTGGGTCAGAGCAGATTTAAACCCAGAACTGACCCCTGTATTGTGTCCCTGCACAGGTCCACAAGATGCTGGCTGAGTTCCGCCTCATCCCAGGGCTCAATAACCTGTTTGAGAAGCTGATCTGGAGGAAATACACTGCTTCAAATCATGTGGTGCATGGCCAGAATGAGAACTGCGACTGTAGTCCAGTATGAACTTTTAACCCAACACTCTTAGTAAAGTGGGTCAATAGAATGAAACATTTTAAAGTTTAACATAACCATTAATACTCTTTGTTATTGTGCAGGAAATATCCTTCAAAATCCAGTTCCTGCGACTACTTCAGAGTTTCAGTGATCACCATGAGTAAGAGACCCTTAATTCAGTTTCCTTGCATCTGACCTCTCCTTCTAAGATATGTTGTTTTGAAATGTTTTGCTTGCCTTTCAGGAACAAATATCTTCTGCTGAATAGCCAGGAGCTAAACGAACTGAGTGCCATATCCATGAAGGCTAACATCCCTGAGGTGGAAGCTCTGGTAAACACAGACCGAAGCTTAGTGTGTGATGGGAAGAAGGGTCTCCTCACGCGAATCCTCACCGTCATGAAGAGGGAGCCTCCAGATTCGTCCTTCAGGTCAGTATCATGCAGGGCTAAGATCAAAATACAGGAGATAAAGTTGTTATTATTTTAGACAGCCTTCTTGGAAGAGTCAAACATGCCCATATTGGAGCACCAGGCTGTCTTCTTTTAAAATGATTTTTCAAGATTTGTCTCTGTAGTTCTGCTTGCAATAGCTTTGCTGAAGCTTTCTGTTTCTGTATGAAGATTCTGGCAGGCGAGGGCAGTGGAAAGTTTTCTCAGAGGAGCCACCTCCTATGCAGACCAAATGTTCCTACTGAAGAGAGGACTACTAGAGGTAAAACTCCATGAAGACAATTTACATTGCACAGATATGTCCTTGATTTTCTGTGAATGAATGGCTGCTCACGTTCTGCCTCCATCCCACGACAGCACATCCTCTTCTGCATCATAGACAGTGGTTGTACATCTCGAGATGTCCTACAGAGCTACTTTGATCTGCTTGGAGAGCTTATGAAGTTTAACATTGATGCCTTCAAAAGATTCAACAAATATGTTAACACTCCAGAGAAGGTATAATAATACTACTGGCTTACAAACATTACAACCATTTCTCAACAAGTGTGTCTAATGGTGTACTTTGATTTGTCTTCTATAGTTTCAGACCTTCCTGACGCAGATCAACAGTTCTCTGGTGGACTCTAACATGCTGGTGCGCTGCATCGTCCTTTCATTGGACCGCTTTGAGAGCCAGACTGAAGATGTCAAAGGTAAACCGGGATTGAAAAGTTTACACATGTAGACTCTTCATTAGAGAACATTTAACTAGTGAGTAAGATTTAGTGGCATCCAGCGATGTAGTTAAAGATTGCAACTCCCTTTCAAGCACAAAGGGAAAACTACTGTGGCTGCCATACACACATTGTGAACGGTCCTATCAAGAGCCAGTGTTTGGTTTGTCAGTTCTGGGCTACTATAGAAACATGGTGCTTCAACGTGGCGACCTCCAACCTGCGGTGTCTGTAAATATAAAAGGCTAATTCTAAGGTAATAAAAACATAACAATTCTTATTTTCAAGTGATTATACACTTAATGAAAACATAGTTATTTGTGTTATATTCCGTTTGTGCTACTAGATCCTCCTAAATGTTACACATTGGACCTTTTTAAAGCAGAACTCAGCAACGAAAACTAACAACAATCAATACAAAACATGTCCTGGATAAATTTGAAAACAGTATTTATGTGTGAAAAACCCAAGTAAACGATCACAAATAAATGGAAGTGCTTTTCATAGAAGAATAATTGATTTTGGCATTGTATATTTTTTTCCCAAGTGGTGGAGGTACTTTCTGAGTGCTGCCTGCTGTCCTACATGGCCAGAGTTGAGAACAGGCTGTCCTTCCTCTTCCGACTGATCAACATCATCAACGTACAGACACTCACACAGGTCTCGTTTCATTTTTACTTTGTCCTGTGTATTGAGAGAAACTGAGTGCCAGAATAAGGAATCATTTGATAAATCAAGGACTATTTTAATGTAAACTCAAAGAAATGTCAGCCACTGTTGGCCTTTTTAATTTGTTTTTATTGTGTGTGCATATTTTGTTGCAAAATGTTTGGTCGATCACTCAAATCTTGCTTCTATTCTATTTTTTCCTGCAGGAGAATGTGAGCTGTTTAAACACCAGTTTGGTGATCTTGATGCTGGCCAGAAGAAAGGCTAAACTGCCCTTCTACCTCAATGCCCTGCGGGAGAAGGAGTATGCTGAGAAGTACCCGGGCTGCCTGCTCAACAACTTCCACAACCTATTGCGCTTCTGGCAGCGCCACTACCTCAACAAGGACAAAGACAGCACCTGTCTGGAGAATGTGAGTAGCTCTCTTTCCTGTACACAAGTGAAGCATCAGTAAATATCTTCATTTCAGTCTACAACAGCTGCCTCACACAAGCAGCAAGTCTGCAGCATGATATGCGAGTCCCCTCTCAGCGTCTACTGTTGTGTTCAGAATTCATTCAAAACATTCCAACAGGGAAATCACATGTTCAGGATTCAATGTTAAGGCTTTTTTATTCACTTGTGGGCCAGAAATCTACTGTCCCAAACCCAATTTTGACTTGCCCCAATACACATTGTTTTATTAGCTGCCATGCGAACAAGACGCTGTCGGCTCTTGTTATGGCACTTCAGCATTTCCAGTTTTATCCCTCTTGCTCTCAAACCTGTGGCAAACTGCGCAATACATGGTTGGAGATTTACATAACCTTTACTCGCTGCCATCTTCTCAGGAGTGCCCAACTGGTCTATGCATGTGAAACTCTCCTTAGCTACTTCTGTCATCACAAAACAATTTGTTTCATTCTTTTTTATACCACTTGCATGATTAGGCAAGTGAGTTGCTAGAGTTACTAGCCCAATGTAGCGTTATACTTGCCCCAGGCAAGTTGAACCCTGAATGTATGCATGCTATGAAAACAAAGACAAAGTGCTCTGAGCTTCACAGTGACTCACATATTATTGGACTGCACTCAAGCTTGCAGAACTTGTCTAGACCTCAGTATTGGTTGAAATGAAAAAAATACTAAGAGACAGATTATTTTAAAAATGTAGAGTTGTGTGTAGTTCCGTGTAGATGAGACTTCCTCTGGCACGCTTGGAAAGATGTACACTGTTGTAGATAAAAACACCTTTTTAAACTGCAGGAATTATTTCAAGAACCCAGGAAACTTTTCCATTGAAGGAAGGATTTTGGTTCATTGCTCAAAGAAAAATTCCTATCTCACTACTAACCTGTGTTGACCAATAAGCAATGTTATCTTCTAAAACTGTTTGGAAACAAGTTAGCCATAACAATTTTTATAAGGTGACGTCAGTGTTGTGTATTTGCTCCTTCAGCTACCCCCAAGTGGCCAAATAGCAGTCATGGTTGATATTTTAGTATAATATATAGACAACCCTAACATTACATTATTGTTTATACCTTTATTTTACTGCTGTAGAAGTTGGCACATCCCTTTTTGAAAGACTCTTATTTCATGCTGAAATGATCAACTTGAAAGGTAAGTTAGTATTGATCCAATAGACATCCGGGGATACAGCTAAGCTAGGCTGATTTCTCTTGTTTGTATGTAGGCTTGTACAATTCCCAGACACTATCCCTTACACAAGAAGGCTAACTTGACAACTAGCATTACCACATACTGTGGTTAGCTAGCTAATTGGGTAGATGTTGTGTTGTTATGATGTTCTAAATCCTCTCTGGTTTCCCTCCTCAGAGCTCCTGTATCCCCTTCAGCTACTGGAAGGAGACAGTGTCAGTGCTGCTGGGCTCAGACAGGACTTCTCTGTGTGCCATAGCGAGCTACATTGATGAGCCCTTCATGGATCTGGACAGAGATCTGCTGGAGGATTGACCACCAGTGTGTGCACTCAGTGTGCTGGGGGGGAGGGGCAGGGCAGAGGGTCACATGGAGCATGGACACCTAAAGCTGGTGACGACTCCTCTAAGCTGAGCCATCCAGGCGCTTTGTGACTGCGTTGTGGATGTAAAGACTCCCCCGTTTGCTGTCTGTACCTTCGCATGGAAGCCGTTATCACAGATGTGAGGGGATGTGATTTGCCTGGCTGTCATCTTCTCACCAAGTTACCGTCCTCTTCTTCAAAGTAAGGGGGGGGTGGGGGAACCTGTATGCCCACCCCAGATCGCCCACATCGTTGAACGGACAATAAAGGGACCTTGCAAAATGACACCTGCATTGGTTGTTTGCTTTAGGTGAAATTCAAATAGAGCCTTTTATATAACCTATACAAAATTCTATGAAAAAAATATGTATGATTCAACAAATTATATGTAAGAAAAAAAGATTCTTTTCACGTGGACTTGGTTAGCCACAGATTACACCGTCACCCACACATGCTGGTCAGTGGTGCATCACAGGGCTGCCAGGAGTCCCCGGCCTCACTCTCCCACTACCTACACGCTCCCATGCCACTCCACTGCCTGACCTGTGGGGGGGGGGGTGATATTGGAGTTTTTGCAGGGGTCTTCTCAATGAACTGCATTTTCATTTAACCTGTACGTGGGTCTATTTTATTAGGTGGCTATTGTTGATCGGTGCTTTCTGGCTCTACTCGGCACATTTAGGTAGCTCGTGGGCCAGCTGACATGGTTCACAAATCACACGGGGCTCCTCTCACTGAAAACCATCCACTCTATCGTGGCTTCAGAAGCTTCACCCAGGGACTTGTTTCTTTACCAGGTTTTTTTTGTTGATTTACTTTTGTCTTTGTTGAAAACAATGGCTTTTAGCTCTGGATAAACTGTAGAATAAAACATTGCACAGATTAAATTGTTTTTATTGTTTATTATATTTTAACACATTTGTTGATTAAAAACGTCTTCATTTTGTAACATAATTTGTATCCATGTTGTAAGAGATGCTTTGGGAAGAGAATAAACTATGCAGGCGCTAGTGTTAAGATACCACTTTCATTGTTCCAGTCCACACAAAATGTATGTGAAAAAGCCTTCTGCCCAACATCATCAGCACTGGACTGAAGGTTTACAGCTTTTTCTGGTTTCTGGGATTTCCTAAAATCTTTGATTACAAGCTGAGAATGACAATCTTTCTGTGTGATGGCTCTTTTTGCATGGCACCACTTGCTCTTTTAGTTTGGATAAAGATGAAGTAGTGGGCACGGCTATGTCAATGATGTGTCCCTGGCCAGAATGTGCAGCTGTTTTGTGGAAATGGAAGATCCAGAGCCGAACAGATGTTTGGTGTCTCAAATTTAAACAGACCCAACCTGAGATAAGTACAAATGGATGAGCTACCTCATATTTTATCCTGACACCGTACAGATCAAACCACTCCTAATGACTAGTGTACAGTTTTACTCCCAGCATGTCACGAGTCATAATACATGTTCATATGAATGTATAAGGGCATTTCTACAGTTGGCCCCTGTTGCCATGAGTTGCTAGTGCTATGCCGCCTTGGGATGCAAACACAAATGTCCTTTACACTTTGAAAGCCTTTTTATTTGCTTTAAAGCTGATAAACCAGAAATGTTTTTTTTTTTTTTTTCTAGCTTTCTTTCAGCATGTCTTAAATCTCTTGATGGGTGTGCACATACTTTGAATTAGTTCATCTTTTGTGCTTTGCAGTGAAGTTAATGCAACAACACTTTACAAGTGCTTCTCTCTTACAAATTCTCGGTGTCTCTGCTGAATGCCCGAGATATCTGCAGTGGTTTCTTGATAACATGATGTGATTTGACACAGGGTACATCTGGAGTGCTGTTAGTACTCATCGTGTGTTATCATTGATCCGAATCCCTCCTATCACTCCAGTCATCAACCATGGAGGCCAGTGAGGCTATGGGTATAAAAGCATGAATGTTTTGAGCGCTTTTCTGGAGCAACTATATAAACAATCTCTGAAGCTTGACTTCTGTAGCTTTGTGATCTGAATTTCAGAGAGTGATCCTTCTGTATGATGCGTAAGAGAATTGGTTCTCAACAGTTATGCTGTATGTGGTGTGTCCTAGTAGGCCTTAGATTTCATTCATTAGTTTGTATAGAAAATGGTGAAATGTTATCCCCTTGGCCAAGAACATGCTGCATAGTGCTAAATATAACACTATTTTGTTTTATTTTAGATCCCTGATATTTTGACTTTATTAACTGGAGATTTATGTAATGTTTGGCATGATGAGGATATTATTAGACATATTTTGCAACCAGTCCTAAATTCACATTCAAGACTCAAACCATGTGGTGCTTTTATTTTCATCAAATATGATTGTGTTTCACCTCACTAGTGTCGACAGCATCTATAGCGTTTGTTGAAAAGGACGTTTACAAAATGCTGACTGGATTATGTTCATGGTGTAAAATCTAAATAATTCATTTAAGATAACTGCCCTTGTATTTTCCCCTCATTTGCATTGGCATTGATTAATGCATAAAATCTAACATGGTTGTGTTTTTTCACTTTCTTTCTCTTTTTAACCGTTTGACTATCAAACAATCAGACAAAAGATTCATGTTTCAGTTTCACATTCTACTATAACTACTTCTGTAACCAACTTTCACCCTCATGTTCCTAATGCTGGTATTGAACTTCATTTTCCTTGTTTAACAGCTGTTTGTCAAATTAATAATATAATAAATTCTTATCTAGACCTTCTTTGTGGGATTTCTATCTTCATCATTTATGCACACTCAAAAAACAAAACAAGACGGTCATATTTAAAGGTTTAAAAGTCTTTATTTGGATGCGTCCTCACAGTCGAGCACAGCTGTTGCAGCTGGCTGGCTGTGATATGTTTGGCTGCAGTGTTTAGCCTCAACACATCACTCAGCAAGCTGAAATACACAAGTCAGGGATGTTTATTAGCAACCACATACACAGTGTCATAGAGTTACTCATGACCACACTAGAGATCACATGAGAGAGCTATGTGAGGTCATCCTCAACAGAGGATTGCATCCAGTCTCTTCTAAGATTAGTTGTTATTAAGCCTGCTGGCTAATTTTAATAAATACTTCCAAAGGTCATACAATTCGGCAGCATACGGTAATATGAAATGTGTTATGTATTTAGTCTACCAACCTTGCTACCTTGGTCCCGGGTGCGAACCCGGAGCTTGTTGACCTGTGTTTCGGCTGTGTCGGCCCTCTCCTCTGCATCATCAAGTTCATGCTGGAGCTTCCTGTACTTAGACAGGTTGACATTTGCCTGTTCCTCCTGCAGAGAGGAGGAAGCCAAGGAAATCATTTAAATGTACAGTGAACTGACTTTATAAATCACTCCAGCCCTCCAGCTCAGCTATGGTTATTGGTGTGGTTAACCATACAATAACACTGCACTTTTGCTAGTGGACTCACCGCTTCCTCAGTTTGTCTCTTGTAACTCTTCACCTTGACCTGCAGCTTGTCAATGAGGTCCTGCAGCCGGACCAGGTTTTTCTTGTCTTCCTCAGCCTGCACAAACAGCACAGGGAACTCTTTCCTTACTTTCAATTTGTAAAATGAAAAAGACATGCATTCATACTGTAGAACCATTGCATGCTCTATGTGCAGACAGACAGATAGTTTACCTGATAGGAGAGCTCTTTGATTCTCCTCTCATACTTGCGTACTCCCTTCTGAAACTCTTGGCTCTTCTTTTGCTCTGATTCCAGTTCATTCTCCAGTTCTTTGACCTAAAAACAAGATCAGAAAAATGACCAGTCCACTCAACACAAATTGCAAACAAAACTCATTGATTATCAGGTGGGACAGCGGCTACATTTAATTTCTCTCATCTCTCACCCTGGCCTCTAGTTTCTGGACCTGCTTCTTGCCGCCCTTGAGGGCGATCTGTTCAGCCTCGTCCAGACGCATCTGCAGATCCTTTATGGTCTGCTCCATGTTCTTCTTCATCCTCTCCAGATGGGCGCTGGTGTCCTGCTCTTTCTTCAGCTCCTCTGCCATCATGGCTGCCTGCAAATTCAGAGGCTCAGAGTTAAATTGACATTAAGTAATCTCTAACTGGAATGGAACCAACCAGCAGCAACATCAACAGGCCTCTGGCACAGTTTACAGTGGATGTTAGATAAGCTGGTTAATTACATCAGAGATCTATTTACAGAATGTTACAATCACAGTGACGGCTGGACAGTCAACCAGATCACTACTGAATCCCCTGTAGACACATATGAGTTAATTTGTAGTGTAAATATCTTATATCATGCACTTTATATTTTGTTTTGTTAAGATCTTACATCAGTGATGGCCTTTTTGGCCTTCTCTTCTGCATTGCGGCACTCCTGCACAGCATCATCCACCTCATTTGACAGCATGGACAGATCACTCTCCAGCTTCTTCTTCTGGTTGATCAGTGCAGTGTTCTGGAGCAAAAAAAAAGTCAATGTCAGGAATCCTCTCACGATAAAAATTTATCTTGAAAATGACATACCTTCTTCATTCCCATCTACTGAGATGATAAGCTCATTTTATTTAATGTTATTTATTTACCATAAATGCACTGCAGTGTGGATTTAAATGCATCTTCCTACCTGAGAATGCAACAGGTTGACTCTCTCGGTTGCCTCGAGCAGCTCATGTTCAGCTAGCTTGCGTGCACGGTCGTTCTGCTCCAGCAGCGCCCTGAGCTCCTCCACCTCAGCAGCCAGCAGGTTGTTGCGGCGCTCTGTCACCGCCACTTGCTCCTTCAGCTCCTCGTTCTGGTGAATAGTCTCATCAAGCTCCAACTGAATGTCCTGGAGTCACAGATCATGTATAAGTGAAAGATTTATTGACAATGGAATTTGTTCCATGCACTAATGAATCTGAGGCATCAGGTAAGGTCATCAACTAGCTGCTAGATGGACACACCTTTATCTGAACCTGCAAGTTTCTCAGGAGTTTCTGGGACTCTGAGGCTTGCCTGTTGGCATGGTTAAGCTGCACCTCCATCTCATTTAGGTCACCCTCCATCTTCTTCTTTAGACGCACTGCCTCGTTGCGAGACTTGGCCTCGGCATCCAAGGTGGCCTGCATGGACTCCAGCGTTCTCTGGTGTTTACGGCTAGAAAGTGAAATTATGAGTAAGCAGTTTATATGGAGTGGTTGATGGGATATAATCGCAGATCTGCTAAAAATTAGGACAAAAAGAGTAATCAATGAATCTCACCGGAGGTTGTCAATTTCCTCATCCTTCTCTGCCAGCTTCCTATCAACATCAGCCTTCATCTGATTAAGCTCCAGCTGGATGCGGAGAGACTTGCTTTCTTCATGCTCCAGGGTGCCCTGAGACAGACAGAAACTTCATTCTTGAAGACATTCAAGAGCACAAGAAGGAGGAAGTGAGAGACCTCATCAAACTGCTTACTTCAGCTTCCTCCAGGGCAGCTTGTATTTCGCTTTTCTCCATGTCCAGACCCTTCTTCATTTTCTCCAGCTCATGGATGGTTTTCACTCCCTGGCTGATTTGATCCAACAGGTCAGCGATCTCCTCTGAGGGAGCAGCAGAAATACTGTTCATATTTTCAATGTAAAAGTCAATTAGAACTAAAGCTCTGTTTAAGTTCAACCCTCTCACTGAGTATTTACGATGTGATCTACAATAACAACGACCGATACCTTGGAGGTTCTTGTTTTCCCTCTTGATGGTCTCCAGATGATCCAGGGTCTCCTCATAGGAGTTCTTCAGTTTGAAGAGCTCGGTGCTCAGGCCACGAGACTCTTTTTGAGAGGTCTCCAGCTCTGACTGGCCCTCTTCATACTTCTGTCGCCACTCAGCCAGAATCTGGGGGAAACAATTGTTTTGCAGTGGAGCAAAAGTCATGAATTGGCTTTTTAGTACACGGTACCAGAACCCAATTCTACCAAATCATCAGGTAACAAGACAGATGCTCAAATGAGCTATTAATTATCTAATAATTAATCCCATAACCGTTGACATCAGCTAATACCTTGTCAAAGTTGCGTTGTTTCTTGTCCAGGGCAGCAGCTGCAGCATTGGCGCGTTCCAGGTCAATGACCAGGTCCTCGATTTCTGTCTGGAGCCGATGTTTACTTTTCTCCAGGGAGGAACACTTGGCATTGGAAGCCTCCATGGTCTCTTCAGCCTCCTGCAGGCGTGTCACCAGCTTCTTCCTAATAAGAAGCAGAGAAGCAGACAATTTGATGCTCACGCATTCAAACAACCCTCTGATTCTGTAAGTTAAAAATACATCTCACTCACTTGGCTTCCTCCAGCTCCTCAGTCCTCTGGATGGCATCCGTTTCGTACTTCGTCCTCCACTGAGCCACCTCGGCATTGGCCTTGGACAGAGCTCTCTGCAGCTCAGCCTTGGCCTCCTGCTCCTCTTCGTACTGCTCTCTCAGAAGATCACAGTCATGTCGAGATGACTGCAGTGCATGGGCCAGGGCGTTCTTAGCCTTAAGAGACCAATCATGATGGTGGAGAGCAATTAGTCCAACAGGACGAACTCTGAATTTCTTCAGAAGCACCTTTGTACATAACGAATTGACCAAGCAGTGAAAAGGCGCTGACCTTATTCTCCTCCTCCAGCTGTTTCCTGAGCTCCTCCACATTCTGGCTGAAGGAGTTCTTGGCACGCTGGAGCTGGGAGACCATGGCCTCCCGCTCTTCAAGCTTCCTGCTCAGCTCACCTACATGGGGAGGAGAGAAAGGTTTCTGTGTTACTAACTGCCCTGTGAAAACTGTTTGTGAGATTTATAATAAAAATAAAAGTTCCTTACCACTCTCAGCCTGAGCACGGGCCCTTTGGGTGTTGGTTTCGTTGAGCTGCCTCTGGAGCTCATCAACCTTTGCTTTGGCCTCGTTCATTTGATCCTCGTACAGGCGACACATCTTCTCTGAAGTGGCCTGCAGACAAGAGATGGACATTTTAGTTTTTTGAGGGATTGATCTACTACTTTGATTCTTTCAGTGTGTTTATCTTCATTTTTCTAGCTACCTTGCCCTTGGAGAGTTGCTCCACAGTAGAGGCCAGATCGTCAGCCTCCATCTTGGCCTCGCTCCTCTCCTTCTCCAACTTCTGCTTGACTCGCTGCAGGCTGTCAATCTGCTCACTCAGCTCCGCAACGCTGTCAGCATGCTTCTTCCGCAAGGTTGCCGTTGAGGCCTCGTGGTGCAGCATGGCTTCCTCCAGGTCTCGCCGCACCTTCAGAAAATCCGCCTCTCTCTTCTTGTTCATCTCAATCTGGGCTGAGGTGGCTCCACCAGCCTCCTCCAAGCGCTCGCTCAGCTCTTCCAGCTCTCGAGCTACATCGGCACGCTGCTTCTCCACTTTGGCCCTGCAAGCCCGGTCAGCCTCCAGCTCCTCCTCCAGCTCTTCTGTACGAGCCTGGAGAAAAGCAATGGTTATTTTTTTATACTTTTTTCAAAGTGATGATTCTGCTCTATTAAAGGTTAAAAGTTTCCACCTGTAGTTCCTTTATCTTCTTCTGGAGCTGATTGACCAAGGCTTGTTCATCTTCAATCCGTGTGCTAATCTCATTCATTTCAAAGTCTTTCCTGGTAAAAAAAAAAAAATACATGCCAATCATCGTTAATCATTACTTCTTAATAGAAATAGCATGTTTTTTTCTGTTAATGTATAAGAACTCTCACTTTTTCAGCTTCTCTTCAAGTTGCTGCTTGTCGTTCTCCAAGTCCATAACAGACTCCAAGGA